ATAGGCACTGAGCACATATTGACACAAGGTGTAATCAATCTGGAAGCTAAAAAGAGCTGAACCAGCACAGGTCAGCCAGCCAAAACCCACAAAACCTCGTTGGGAAGTTTAAACAAGCCCTGCCTTCAGCTGGGAGCGGGTTTATCCCTGCCTCCAGCAGCCCTCCCCGGGAAATATGGAATGAGGTGCAATGGGAAAATAAGGAGGTAAATAAGGAAATCCCTTCCCAAAGTGGTTGCAGTGCAGGGAGGAGCTGAACCCATCTCCACCTTTAGAGATCCTTGAGGCATCTCCTCCAGGCCTGTCTGCACCCCCAAACCTCCCTGGCAGCCTCATCTCCAGGTGGTTCCTGTGGCAGGAGATGCTGGGACCCTGCAGCTGTTGGTCCCTGCACCCCCAGCCACTGTGGGGACCTGCTGTGGGTCCCCACCACACGTGTCCCCTTCCCCTGGCCACTGTGGACCCCCCGTGTGATCCCCCCACCCCTTCAGCTGCAGCAGATAAACTCCCAGCCCCGACCAAAGTCTGAGCCCCTCCCCTGGTTGCCATGGAGAAGGCTGTAATGGTATTAGGAAAAGCAGCAAAATCATTAAAAAGTACTTTTTAAACCTATTTAAACTCTAAGGAATCATTTACCTTCCCCAGCAGCTCCTGGGCCTGCAGCTCCCTCCCCAGGGAGCTTCCCAGTCCCTTGGGGTGGGACATGCCACCAGTGGGACATGCCACCAGTCCCTGGTGTCCCTGCTGTGTCCCTGGGCTGGGGAGGGGACAGGGCTGGGCCACATCTGCTGTGGGACCCTGGCAGGTCCCTGGTGCATCCCCACCCATCAGAGAGTGACCAGGGACACTTGGGGCACCAGCAGGGACAGCACCACCAGCAAGCCCTGGGGAGCAGGGAGGTGACACGTGTGGCACTGGCACGTCTGAGTTAGGGAGTATTTTTAGCAAATCTTGCCAAATATTGTCCCTGTCTGGAGGAGAGCATCATCTCACGTTGCCAGGGTAACCAGTGCTCCTGCTCCTCACTGAGGCCCAAAAACGTGTCCCACAGAGAGGGGAGGGGTGACACCAGCACCACGGGGCTTGTGCCACTCTCCTGGCCCCAGGAGTGGCGCTTTGCCTGATGCTCAGCCACGTTTCTGGTCATCCTGGTCCCTGCTGCTGGAGATGGGGACAGGGCAGTGGTGGCAGCTGCTGGTGAAGGTCCCCATGGGCATCTCTGGGTACCACCTGCTGCCCTGCTACAGCTGCAGAGCCTCGTGTGGGGCTTGGGAAAGGTGCCCCATGTCCTGGCAGCTCCAGGGATGCCAATCCTGCCCTGGTGGCCCTCGTGGCCACCACGTCACCAGCACCAGACTGGTTGGACTGGGAGAGGTGAGGATGTCCCCAAGACGTGACTCAGGGTGGGGAGAGGTGTTCTCTGTGTGCCAGGGAGAGGAGAGGTGTTCTGTGTGTGCCAGGGAGGGCAGAGGTGTTCTCCATGTGCCAGGGAGGGCAGAGGTGTTCTCCATGTGCCAGGGAGGGCAGAGGTGTTCTGTGTGTGCCAGGGAGGGCAGGAGATGTTCTCTCTGTGCCAGGGAGGGCAGAGGTGTTCTCCGTGTGCCAGTGAGGGGAGAGGTGTTCTCTGTGTGCCAGGGAGGGCAGGAGATGTTCTCCATGTGCCACCTCAGCTCTCCAGCGCTGGGCACGGAGGGAGCAGCCGGTCCTCGGGGTGCCAGGGTGGAGGGACGGGCTGGCAGTGTGGCAGGGCGAGCAGAGCTTTCCTCCTGCCCCACATCCCAGCCCCACCCCATCCTCCAGCACATCCCAGCTCTCCTCCCAGCCCTGGAGGTGCCAGGGGGCACAAATGGGACGTGGGGTGGCAGTGGGTGCTGACAACCTGTTGGACCCAGTGGTGGGGCAACTGAGAGACGTTTCTTACCTCAAAGTTTACATACAAATAAACCTTCTAGCAAACCATACAAACTCTGCAAATCCATTTCCCAGGGCACGCCGCAAGCCCAGCACCCCCGGGCTGCAGCACCCAGCCCTGGCACCCCGGGACAGGACAGGGCAGGTCCAGAGGGGACCCTGGAGGTGGCCGGGGCTGGAAGAACCTTTTCTGTTCTTCCTGGGGGAGCTGAGCGAGGCTCTGCAGCCCCCTCCTCCTGTCCCTTCTCCAGGCTGGCAGAGCTGGGGCTGTCCAGCCTGGACAATTCCTTGTGGTGTTGGAATCTGTGGGTATTGGTGATTTTGAGATTGTACAAAGTCTCTGTCTTTCTGCTCCGTTGCTAAAGAAGAAGCCATAATTCGTTTGTGCTGTTTTTAAGGTTGTTTATTTTTGCTTATTTATAACATGTTCTGCTGCCCTGCCGCAGCTCTGTCCTGCAGGGCAGCGTGTGGGGCTCTGCCCTCAGTGGGATGTTACAAACATTAAATACCAGAAACTACGTGTACTATATTTACAATAATGTGCCAATATCTATCATCTACGTTGAACAGTGTGTTCTCAGCTTAAACTAATAAAAAAATGCCAACACCACAGTGAAACATGGAGGGCATGAAGAAGGAGGAAAAGGACAAGACACACCCAATTCCTCCATCTTGTCCCCTCTGAACCCCTAATCTAGAAACCTAAAATTTTACTTCTGCACTCGTGTCACACTTAATTATTATTTTTATAAAACACTCAGAGCTTGTAATTTATCTTGTAAGATTGAAAACTCTTTTCCATGGACAGAGATCACAGCCAGTGTCTCTGGGGGCTCTGTCCAGGGGGGTTCCTGACCCCTGCCAGGGTCCCAGGTGATCCAGGGCAGCCAGAGGGAAGCCCTGGATTCTCACATTGTGGCAGCCTGAGGGCTCGGAAAAGTGACAGAGAAAAGCTTTTCCTCAAGCCGGGAGACTCGGCGGTGATTTTAAAGTGGATTGGGTTGGATACAAACGGAGAATGTGGTGGGGGGATCGGTGGGAGCGGGGTGCCCAGGGATCCCGGGTGGCAGAGGGCTCCCCTGGCACCCCGGCTGGCAGAGGGCTCCCCTGGCACCCCGGCTGGCAGAGGGCTCCCCTGGCATCCCGGGAGGAGTCTGGCAGATCCAGGAGCGGCTCCAGCTCCCTTTGCTGGCGCTGGAAGCCAGATGGAGCCACTGGCTGCGCTAAGGCTCTGCCGGGAGCTGGGGCTGCTCCCCTGCTCCCCTCGGGGGTCCCTGGGTGGCACAGGGCCCCGTGTGACCCTGCCAGGGCTGGCAGGGCTGGGGGACAGGTGACAGCCAGCAGCGGGCTGGGTGCGGGACTGGGCGCCCCAAAACTTCCCCGGAGCTCCCGCGGGCTCGGGGCGGCTCCATCCCCTAAATCCGCGCCCCGGGGCTGCTTTTGGACAAGGAGAGTGAAAATCCCCCAGGGCAGAGCTGAGATCTGGGTCTGCTGGGGTTCAGTGACACCCCAAAACTTCGTTTCTCAGCCCGAATCTGCTTTTTCTGCTGTTGCCCGGCACAAAATTGGCTTCGTGTTCCCAGCCCCGGGGAAAAGTGGTCACTGTCGCTCCTGGTGCCGGTAGGGCACCTGGCACACAGGTTATTTATTGCCTAAACAACGCCTCGTTTGCATATGTTAATTGTCCATTAATTGGAACGGGCTCGCTGCGGCTCAGGGGCTGTTCCCCCCAGATCGGGTCTCGGGGTCCTGTGGGATGGGGGTACCCATCCTTGGGGTGTCCTGTGGGGCTGGCACCCCTGGGAGCCGCCCGGGGAGCGGAGCTGCAGCTCCCGGCCGTGGGCAGGGTGTGAATTCAGCTCCCGCCGGGTGTGAAGTGACTGTGAATTCTCATCAACACTTCCATTACCTTAATAAAATTACTTCAGGTCTGTTAAGTTCTTTTGCAGAAAAACAAGCCCTAATTGCACGGTTTGCTGGCTTCTCCTTCCCCTGACCCCCCCGGAATGCTCAGCCCTGGCTCCGGCCCCTGTGCACCTTCACTGGGGGCTCTGGGACCCCTCAGCAGCCTGGAAGGGCTGAGGAGCTCTGCTCGTCATGGAGCTCTGCCAGGGTGGCCCCTCTCCCTCTCATCTGCTGAGCTCTGACAGATTCTCAGGAGTTATTCAGAGCTTTGGGCTTTTTTGAACATTATATTGTCAAAGCTTTTTTTCTGTGGGAGACAGATCCTTACCTAAACTCACCCACTCTCCAGAAATAGCAGTGATAATAAGCCTGAAATGAGGAGATTAAGAGCTGGAATTCATTCTAGAATCGTGGAAGAGTTTGAGTTGGAAGGGCCCTCCAAAGGTCTCCCAGTACATCTGATTTTCCCCCTGCTGAAGGTTTTCCAGTGTTATCCACCCTGCCCTGCATTCCCTGTTACCCTCACTCTGACCCTGGAGATTCTCAAAACACTTTTGGCTGTGGGATTTGTCCCATTCCAGCCTGGCAGGTCCCACTTTGGAGCCAGCAGCAGCACCCAGAGCAGCACAAGGTATTTCTAGCACTGCCAGGGCTAATCCAGGCTTGTTTCAGTGCTTTAAAACATCTTTTTCCACACAGCAGCTCTGATGGGAGGGGATGAATTGGGAAAGGCCTTTCCTGCACCCAGAACTCAGAGATCCTGGCAGCACTGGAGCAGCTCGTTGGCATGGGAGGCTCAAGGACTGTAGGGATCAAGAGGAAATTTCCTGGAAGAAAATCAGATACGATGGGATGGGCTCAGAGCAGGTGATTGGTTTAGTGGGTTAATTATTGGGCTGATCAGCCCTTGGAATCATGGAATGCTTTGGGTGGGAAGGGACCTTAAAATCCATCCAGTGCCACCCCTGCCATGGGCAGGACACCTTCCACTGTCCCAGGCTGCTCCAAGCCCCATCCAACCTGGCCTTGGGCACTGCCAGGGATCCAGGGGCAGCCACAGCTGCTCTGGGCACCCTGTGCCAGGGCCTGCCCACCCTCACAGGGAACAATTCCTTCCCAATATCCCATCCATCCCTGCTCTTTATTCATGCTAACTTTCTCCTCTATTATTTAAAAATCTTTCCCCTTTTCCTATCACTCTTGGTTCTTGTAAAAAGTCTCTCTCCCTCTCTCCTGTCAGCCCCCAGAGCACTGGAATGTCCCTGCACTGGGGCTGGAAGCCATCCCTGCAGCAGGTGTGGCAGTGGTCCCTCACAGGGGCTGGTTCCCCTCCCTGGCTGCCCTGGGGATGTTCCTCAGCTCCTTGTTCCAGTGTCTGCTGTGGGCTGAGCTGGGAATACAGAATCCTCCTGGGAAGCACCATTGCTTTGCCTCCAGCAGCTCCCAGGGTGGCTGAAAGGTTTGGAGCCACCTTAAAATCCAGGTGGAAGCCTCTGGTAACCAGAGTTGGTAGCAACAGCGCTGGAGCTCCTGGGAGAGGCTCCTTAGAGCTCCTTCCTTGGCTTCTCAGTCGCTCTGGCCAGCCCTGTGAGAGCCCCTGGCCCCTGAGCACATGGATCTTGCAGAGAATGAGGAGGTGAGCACCCTGCTGCCCAAAAATCCAGCTCTGAAGGGCTGCAGCCCCTTCCCAGCCCATGGAACAGCACCCTGCCAGGGAAATGCCAACCACAGGGCAGCAGTGGCTGGGGTTTGTTCAGCTCCTGGGAAGCTGGAGGTGCTGAGCTCTCCCAGCAGCGCTGGTGGGGGAGAGGCAAGGGGGAGGAGAGCCCAACTGGAGCTGCTCTGTGCCTCCAGGTGCAGCTGGAGGACACCAAGCAGGAGATGCAGCAGCCTGGAGACCCACAGGAGGAGATGGACAAGCTGCCTGGCCCCAGGACAGACTTCCCAGCCAGGATGGTCCTCAGTGAAGAGGAAAAACTGAAGGTAAAACTTTGGGAGTTGGAGGGGACTGAGCTGTGATGCTGTGTGAGGCCAGTGGGTCCACAGTGGGAGATAAATTCCTCCTTTGGGGTGGGGCTGTGTTGTGCTCAAACATCACACTGGCCTCAGAATCCATCCATGGACTTCACTGCCTCTGTCTCTCCCAGATTTCCAGAGACCTCGTGGATCTCCAGATAGAGACAAACAAAATGAAGGAGCGTTATGAGACTGAGAACTTCCAGCTGAAAACCCAGGTACCCACCTTTGGGAGCAGCCAAATTCAGCCTGGCAGAGCCTTCCCCAGCTCTGCAGCTCCTACCACACCCCTTTGCTCTGCCTGCCGTGTCCTCCTGGCTTTGCAGGGCTGAATTCCCCCAGCAGCCCCATGCCAGGAGCGCCCCTGCAATCCCTGTTTGAGCCTGTGCTGCTCTGACCCTGCTGTCCCCTTGTCAGTGTTCAGGAGCACACAGAGTCACAGGATATGAGTCCATGGGATGCTTTTATTGAGAGCTCTGGGAATCAGGGGTACAGCCCCAAATCTGACTCTGACGCAGCTTTCAAGCTGAATGTATTTTATATTCTATCCTTATATAACTTAGCTATTAATTATTAAATGTATATTGTTCTATTGGATACATTGACATGAGTTACTCGTGATCTTTCTTAGGTCCCTGACCACAGTTTCTCATGATTATTCTTATGATTAAACAGTAATTACATTTAATTACTAAACAATCATCACATTTAACAATTACATCACTTATCACGTACAGGTGCAGTTCTAGCAAGTACAACTTCTCCATGTGCTTAGGGTGGTTATTTTTCCAGGGCCTGCTAAGCTTATTTTTCCTTTTAACCCTAAATCCCCATGACTTTCAAAGCCTTTTGCTGTCACCCCGAGCAGATGCAGGCCCTGGAGGGGCGGCTGCGGGAGCTGGAGCGGGGCAGGGCCGGGCTGAGGCAGGAGCGGGATTCCCTGCGGGAGCGGCTGCGGGCCCTGGAGAGCAGCCGGCAGCAGCTGGGCCAGGAGTTCATCATCCTCAAGAGCAATTACCTGGCCCTGGGCAGGGAGCTGGACAAGGAGGTGAGAGAGGCTGTGGGCTCATCCCACAGCTCCACTCCACTCACGTCCCTGCTGTGCCAAGCCTGGCTTGGCTTTCATTTGTGCATCCCCCTCGCAGCTCAGGGCCAGGGAGCACAAATTGTACAAAGGTGCTTGTTGAGAGACCTCTTAAAGGCCACCAAGTCCACAAAGCCCATCCAGTGCCACCCCTGCCATGGCAGGGACACCTTCCACTGTCCCAGGCTGCTCCAAGCCCTGTCCAGCCTGGCCTTGGGCACTGCCAGGGATCCAGGGGCAGCCACAGCTGTGCCAGGACCTCACACAATTCCATCCCATCCATCCCTGCCCTCTGGCAGTGGGAGCCATTCCCTGTGTCCTGTCCCTCCATCCCTTGTCCCCAGTCCCTCTGCAGCTCTCCTGGAGCCCCTTTAGGCCCTGGAAGGGGCTCTGAGGCATCCCTGAGCTGAGCACCCCCAGCTCTCCCAGCCTGGCCCAGAGCAGAGGGGCTCCAGCCCTTGGGGATCTCCCTGGGCTCCCCTGGACTCTCTCCAGCAGCTCCAGGTCCTGCTGCTGTTGGCCCCAGGGCTGGAGCAGCTCTGCAGGTGGGGTCTCACCTGAGGGGGCAGAGGGGCAGAATCCCCCCTGCTGCCCATACCAGGGCTCAGCCCAGCCCAGGGGGGTTTCTGGGTCCCAGCACACACAGCCAGGACATGTCCAGCCTGGCACAGCCTGGCCCTGCGGGTGTCTCCAGGGATTTGATGTAACACAGCTCCTTCTCACACGGCCTTCAGACCTGCCCTCGCAGCGGGGACAGGGTGGGGACAGGGATGGGGACAGGCTGGGGACAGACTGGGGAGAGGTTTGGGAGAGAGCTGAGGACAGATTGGGGACAGAGCTGGGGACAGGGCTGGGGACAGGTTGGGGACAGGCTGGGGACAGGCTGGGACAGGTTGGGGACAGATTGGGGACAGGCTGGGGACAGGGATGGGGACAGGGATGGGGACAGGTTGGGGACAGAGCTGAGGACAGGGTGGGGACAGAACTGGGGACAGGCTGGGGACAGGTTTGGGACAGAACTGGGGACAGGTTGGGGACAGAGCTGGGGACAGGCTGGGGACACTGCTGAGGACAGGTTGGGGATAGGATGGGGACAGGGATGGGGACAGGGATGGGGACAGGGATGGGGACAGGTTGGGGACAGGGATGGGGACAGAGCTGGGGACAGAGCTGGGGATAGGTTGGGGACAGGTTTGGGAGAGAGCTGAGGACAGATTGGGGACAGAGCTGGGTACAGGCTGGGGACACTGCTGAGGACAGGCTGGGGACCAGGCTCAGGACAGGCTGGGGACAGGCTGGGGACAGGGATGGGGACAGGCTGTGCACAGGCTGGGGACAGGGATGGGGACAGGCTGTGCACAGGCTGGGGACAGGTTGGGGACACTGCTGAGGACAGGCTGGGCACAGGGCTGTGCTGACCCGCTGGCCCCGGTGCCCCACGGGCACAGCCCCACGGGCACAGCCCCACGCCGTTGCCGGGGTCTCGGGGGGCTCCCGGGCCGCTCCCCCCGCGCTGCCGCCGCTTTGTTTCCCTTTTTTCTGCTTGGCTTGCGCAGCCCGCACGGAACGGGCTGGAGCCGCTCTCATTCCCAGCGACAAATTTATAAAAACACCCAATTCAGGCAATTTTCTGACGGGTTCTTAAGGGACAGACGCCTTCCCGCTGACTGCTAGCTCAGCAAAGATTAAGCAGCGGCTTTTGGACCCAGATTTGGGGATTTCTTTGGCTACTTCAATAGTCCTTCCTGTGTCCCCTCCCTCTCCCCCTCCTGCTTCTCCTTCTTTTTGAATGATGGAGTGAGTGACACGCTCCTGCTCCCTCCCTCCCCCAGCAGAGTGTGGCTGCCTCAGCTCGGTGACCTGCTTTTCCAGGCCGGGAAGATGTGCAGCAGGAATGCTGCTCTGGTCCAGCGTGGATGGGCTCTGGCAGAGCAGGATAATGATCACCCGTGAATTAGTGACCCTTGTGCAGAGCTCCTTTGTCTCCCAGAAGCTGAGAAATGGGAATTTCTCACGAGGAGGAGAACTCGGCTCTTTCAGGGGTGATCCCACCCTGCGACCCCGCTGGAGCAGGAGGCAGAGCTCCCGGTTATTCCGGGCTCAGGAGGAATCACTCAGCCATCACCACTCCCTGCTGCTTCTCGTCCCCAAGGGGGTGCAATGTGTTTGTCAAAACCTGGATTTTCAGGCAGCTGACAGCTCTAAATGATGGGTTTAGCGGGTTAGAGGTAATAACAAAGTTTTCACATGGATCTGGGATGGTTCAGAGGGTGAAAGCATGTGGATTCAGGTCTGTGCCAGATAGCATCCTGAAGAACCATGGAGTCAAGGAATGTTTTGGGGTGGAAGGGACTTTAAAGCCCATCTCATTCCAGCCCCTGCCACGGGACACCTTCCCCCAGACCAAGCTGCTCCAAGAAGTGCTGAAGCAGGGCCAGAAGCCAGAGGTGAATTCCTTGGATGTCCTCCATATGCCGAGGAGTTTACCCCAGTTCCTTGGCTCCGACTCCCAAAAATCCCTGCCTGAAGCCAGAGAGGCTCTGACTTGGCAGCCCGGGACTTGTCGCGACATGGGCCTCTTGCTCATTATTTTCCCAGCGCGGACTTTCCCAAAGGAAAGGGGAAAAGCAGCCTGCAGTTCTGCCCCCTCCCCTTCCCCGCGCTCTTCTGGGGGAGACAATGAACCTTTTACACATTCCCAATTACAAGTGCTACTTGTGACCTTGCCAATATGTTGTCATGGCTGCTGGGCGCAGGAGCAGCTCGGGGAGCTCATTCACGGCCCCTGGGCCGGGAGCAGCCGGAGCCTCCGGATGGCGGCGGCGCCTTTGTCCGCCCCGGCCGCAGGATCGGCCCTTGGGAAGAACCTCGCAGGAGATGCCAGGCAGGCACTCAGGGCTGTTTTCTGACTCGCTGGAAATTCTTCTTTTTCAAAGCTCTGACCTTTCCTCGCTCTCCGTTTCCTTCTCCCTTTGTCCCCCAGGCTCGCTCCGGCTGCCCCCGAGGGGACCCAAACCCGCTCGGGGTTCCACGCTGGGGTTTTCCCTGGAGCTCAGGAGCTCAGGAAAAGGCAGCAAAGCCCAACTTAACCCGAGGACTACCCCTTGTTTTTTTCTTTTGGCTAAACGGGTCCTTGTGACCCCTGGGATCAAATTGTCAGGGCTGACAGCTGCAGATGGATGCTGCGGCCGGGAACAAGCGGAGCTGTCTCTGAGAGCTGTCAGGTTTCACAGCTGTACACCTCACCTCTTTGTCAGCCTCCCTTCTCCCCGCTCTCCCCCAGCCCACCCCGTGCTATCTTTTGATAAGCTATTCTCTCCACGGATGACTCAGATGACCTCTGCCTCCCATCCTCCCGATTCACTGCCATGGTAACAATTACTCAAGCTTGTCCCCAGTCATAAACCCCTTCAGAGCTTTGTTATCTACACAGAAACCCTCCTGGGAGACATGAATTCCCCCAGTGTTCCCTCCAGATCACCTGTAACCAGCTTTTCTCATTCAGATCCTCTTTATCTTTTGGAAATGTGTCACTCGGCACCAGCACAGCTGCCTACACGGGGCTGTGGGCTGGCTGCTGCTGGGGGAGGCGTTCCAGCCACACCGGGAATGTTGTCCGGAGGGATGGAGAGATGAGGGATGGATGGATGGAGGGATGGATGGATGGATGGATGATGGATGGATGGATGGATGATGGATGGATGGATGGATGGATGATGGATGGATGGATGGATGGATGATGGATGGATGGATGGATGATGGATGGATGGATGGATGGATGGATGGATGATGGATGGGTGATAGATGATGGATGAATGGGTGGATGGATGATGGATGGATGATGGATGGATGGATGGATGGATGGATGGATGGATGGATGATGGATGGATGGATGGATGGATGGATGGATGGATGGATGATGGATGGATGGATGGATGGATGGATGGATGGATGGATGGATGGATGAGGGATGGATGAGGGATGGATGATGGATGGATGGATGATGGATGGATGGATGGATGGATGGATGGATGATGGATGGATGAGGGATGGATGAGGGATGGATGATGGATGGATGGATGATGGATGGATGGATGGATGGATGGATGAGGGATGCATACATGGATGGATGGATGATGGATGATGGATACATGGATGGATGGATGGATGGATGGATGGATGGATGGATGATGGATGAATGGATGGATGGGTGGATGGATGGATGATGGATGGATGGATGGATGGATGGATGGATGGATGGATGATGGATGGGTGATAGATGATGGATGGATGGATGGATGGATGGATGGATGGATGGATGGATGGATGGATGGATGATGGATGGATGGAGACCTGGCCCTTGCACTGTGGAGCCCAGCACTGCTCAAAGCTGTCCCATGGGGAAGGACGTTCCTGAAGGGAGAAGCTGAGTGGAGGGTGCAGGGTGGGGGCGAGGAGGGAGCTGGAGGCCTGCAGAGGTGGTGGCAGAGCTGTGCCCAGGGCAGGCACTGGGGTCTGGATTTGAGTGTGGGATGTGCAGAGGGGTGACATTCCATGGGAATAACCCTGCTGCCTGGCTGTGCATTCCATGAGAACCAGAAAATCACCTGGTGATCATCAGCATATCTTTGGATATAGGAGACAGAACAAAAATGAAAATTTGATTTGGGGAGGGAGTGCCTGCCTGGAGCACACACCAGGAGCAGCAGGCATGTGCTGACCAGAGGGGGATTTCAGAAGTTCTTTCCTTCTTGTTTGACCTTGCAGGTGCTGAGGAACGAGGAGCTGACCCAGGAGCTGCTCAGCCTGGCCAAAGAGAGCAGCCACCCCCCTGGCTTGGCCCATCAATCCTCCCCAGGGCTGGGAGGGGGGAGAGCAGCGGGACACCCCCGCTCTGCTCGGAGGGGGAAGGTAAGGGACTCTCTGCCCCTGCACCAGCCCCTGGGAGAACAGAGATCTCCCAGCTCCCTTCTCCTCTCCTCCTCTCTCCCCAAACCAGCCCGAGGATGCAGCTGCCTCTGAACACGAGCAGCAGGAGCTGGAAAGAAACGTGAGTGAGCGGGGTCTGCTGCAGGATCCTTGGGAAGCAGAGGGGATTGATTCCAACTGCGGCTGGCACCTCCTGCTGCTAACTTGAGTTTTGTAGATCAGCTGATGCCTTGATTCATTTGAAATCCTTTTTTTAAACCCTGCAATTGCAAAACAAGACAGGAATAACTCCAGATGTGCAGGCAGAGCTGAGGAGGGCAGAGGTGATTCCCTGGGTCCATGCCCTGGCAGGGGGAACACAGACAGGAGCTTAGAAGCCAACAAGTGCAGAGGACACTTTTTTCCTTCTTTCTCACACTTGAGAAATCTGGGGGTGATGAAGCACCCAGAACTGAGAGCACAGAGATGGTTCCTGCCTCCTCCCCATCTGCAGCCCTTGCAGAACCAGCTTGGGCTCCGCCACCAGCTCCTGCTGGGAATCTGACTCTCAACGTGAGCGTTTCCCTCGGGAGAGCGACACATGTGCACCTCCACGTGCCCTGGCTGGGCACCAGACACCATCCCTGCCTGCTGCAGGGCACCAGTCCTTCCCCCAGCATGGCACTGCTCAGCTGGACAAGTGCTCAGCTCGAGGTTCTCCTCACTTTGTCCTCTCTTCACTCAGCCTTCTGCCTCATCTTCCTCTTCGTTTGTCCCTCAGTTGCTTGGAAACCAGGATCACATAAAAGTGGAGCTGGAAAAACTGAAGAAAAGGCACGATGAGCAGCAGCAGAAGCTGGAGGAGCGAGTGTGAGTGTCCCTCTGCTTGGCCAGGTGTTTGTGGGACTTGTTGCAGCTGGATTTGACCCATGGGAGCAGGAGAGGGGCAGTCTGCCTTTGGGGGGTACAGGGAAGGAATGAGGCCTGGAAGGAAAACCTGATGTTTTCAAGGCTCTTCAGAGCTGTCAAATGAAAGTTGGTGGTGTTCAGGGACACCTTGAAAATCCACTCTCTGTGACACACAGCAAACGAGTGACATCCCAGAGATGAACCCAGCCCTTACCCACACAGTGGGTTTTCCATCACCTGGGAATGGGGTTAGTGTTCCAGGAAAGGCTGCCCCAGCAGGAATGCTACAGGACTCACCCCTCTGAGCACTGGGTGTTCATCCTCAGTGGGGAGAGATTTTGTGGCACTGCTTTGCACATATTTGGATGCTGGCAGCTACTGCTGGGAGATTTCTGTCATTCCAAAGTGCTTTTCTTCCCCAAGCTGGTTGTGTTGGACCTATGGAGAATCCCAGAATGGGCTGGGTTGGAGGGGACCCTAAAACCCATCTCATTCCACCCCTTGCCATGGGCACGGACACCTTCCACTATCCCAGCTTGTTCCAAGCCCTGTCCAGGCTGCCCTTGGACACTTCCAGGGATGGAGAAGGAGTTTGGGCAGTTGAAATAAACCCGTTTTCCCCCTGTGTGTGCAGGCTGGCGCTGGGGAAGGAGCTGCAGGAGGCCAAGGGAGCGGTTGGGGACAGCCAGCACAGGCTGGCACAGCAATCCGCGGTGAGCACGGGCTGCCTGCACCCCTCTGCCTCCTCCTGAGCTGCCAGGCCTGGGCTGCCGTGTGGAGCAGTGATTCCAGGTGCTCCAGCAGCTCTCCCTCTCCAGGCATTTTGTCCCACCGAGGTTCTCCCCGTGCCGTTTCCTCCTGCACGTGGTGGAAGTGCTGCTTGCAGAGCTGGTGGGAGGAATTTTGCTCACTGGTTTTCAGAAAGAGTTGGTGGAATCACCGGGGTTGGGGGTGGCAGATGACAGAAGGTAACAGGGGAATAGGGATTATAAACATTTCCAGTAGGTTCCTCTGAAAATCCAGGAGCTTCTCAGATCTAGTGAAGCCAAATATCTGGAAATGAAGACCCTCAGCTCTTAAGAAGTGTCTCAGCTCCCGCTCCTCGGCTGGAGGAGCAGGCCAGCAGGATTTTTGTTTGCTGTGGCAGGTGCTGCTCACGTCCCAGGGCCAGCTCCAGGAGGTGGAGGCGGAGAACTCCCGGCTGCAGCTGCAGCTGAAGGAGCTGAACGAGGAGTATCGCTCCCGGCTGGCGCAGAACATCAGGGACCTGGCGGTGGGTGCCCAGCCCGGGGCTCTCCTGGCCTGGGAGGTGCCACAGATTCATGGGATATCCTGAGCTGGAAGGGTTCCACAAAGGTCATGGATCCAGCCCCTGGCCCTGCACAGACACCCCAAATCCCACCCTGGGCATCCCTGAGATCACTGTCCAAGCATTCCTGGAGCTCTGGCAGCCTCAGGGCTGTGCCCATTCCCTGGGGAGCCTGGGCAGTGCCAGCACCTCTGGGGGAAGAACCTTTCCAGCCTGACCCTGCCCTGGCACAGCTCCAGCTGTTCCTCCCCTCAGCTGTCTCCATACTGGCACCCTCCTCTTGTAGGCTGCTGCCAATAAATAAGAGTAAATACATAAAGAAAGGGTTTTTTTAATCCCTGTAATCTGACCAAGAAAAGTCCCAGCAGAAGCTCACCAATAATTTTGCGTGGCCCTACAGGAAATCTGGGTGTGTGGGGGGGCTGCCACAGAATCATGGAATGGGTTGGAAGGGATTTTAAAGCTCATCCAGTGTCACCCCCTGCCATGGCAGGGACACCTCCCACTATCCCAGGTGACTCCAAGCCCTGTCCAGCCTGGCCTTGGGCACTGCCAGGGATCCAGGGGCAGCCACAGCTGCTCTGGGCACCCTGTGCCAGGGAACAATTCCTTCCCAATATCCCAATATCTCATCCATCCCTGCCCTCTGGCAGGGGGAAGCCATTCCCCCTGGATTTCCCTCTCTGTGCATTTCCAGAACTACATGGACAGCAAACCCAGCAGCGTGACAGGACACAGCAGAGCCCCAGCTGGCCACGCTGCCATGAAGGACTTTGTGGACAGCATGCTTGGGGACATCCGAGCTTCCTACAGGTCCCGGGAGGAGCAGCTGGCTCGGGCAGCCCGGGGCTACAAGAAACGCATGAAGGACTTGGCCAAGAAGCACGAGAACCTGCTCATTGCCTACGGGTAAAGCTCAGCCTCTGCTCCTCAGGGCTGTGGGAAAGCCCCAGAGCACTCAGCCCCTGCCCCAGGAGGGGGCAAACACAGCCTCTGGGTGGAGCAGAGGGTCTGGAACGCACATTTATCCCCCTGCTCCTGGCAATCCGGGATCAAACTGCCTCCAGCTGCACATCAGGGTGCTCTGGACCCCATGGAGCTGCTTTGCACATATGTTCCTCCCACTTAAAATGCAGGGTGAGAGATGGATCCCACGGTGGATGGTGTGGAAATGCAGAGGTACCACAAATAGCTCCACCTCCCAGCCCGTCCCTGCAGCGCTCTCAGCTCTCTCGGCAGCTTGGGCTGTGGGAAGCAGCAGAAATACTTGTGGTAGAAAAGCCACAAATAGCTCTAGGACAAGCTCCCTTCAGAAACTCTCCCACTTCTCCTTTGCAGGGGCCAGAAGCAGCAGGGGCAGCAGCAGGAGGAGCGCTCGGTGGTGTCCCAGGCGGGGCAGGGACTGAGGCTGTGCTGCTTGCAGGCTGCAGCGGGAGCAGATCCGTGCCCTGGGCAGCAGTGCCATGGACTGCGGCCCTGCCGAGCTCCACTTGGCCATCACAGACCCAGAGCTGCTCACCAACAGCTCCCGGGAGCTGAACCGCCTGCGGCAGCAAAAGGCAAAGCTGGAGATGCAGCTCCAGGAGCTGCAGCAGGTGGGGAGGGAGCTGGGGCTTGGTGGGGAGGGTTCCAGCAGCCCCTTCCTTGAGGCGTTTGTAGGAGTGGTTAGTTGGAAAAGCTCTCTCAGATCAGCAAGTCCAACCATGTCCCCAGCACTGCCAAGGCCACCACTGAGCCGTGTCCCCAAGTGCCACCTCCTGCTCTCCCTGAGGGTTTGCTGTGCCTGTGGCACAGGCAGGGAACACAACAGTCATCTCCATGTGACAGAATCATGGAATACCACAATGGTTTGGGTTGGAAGGGACCTTAAATCCCATCTTGTTCCACCCCTGCCATGGCAGGGACACCTTCCACTGTCCCAGGTGGCTCCAAGCCCCTTCCAACCTGGCCTTGAACACTTCCAGGGATGTGGAAATGTCCTCCCACTGGGCAAATGTGGGTCACGATTTGCACAAGATGCATTTATTTAGAAATTCAGACAGGAGACCTGAAACCTTCAGACTGTACAAGCCATGGTTTCCTTGCTGTGGCACTGGTGGCTGTGGGAGTGCTGGGATACCTTGTGCCACTTCCAAGGGCACAGAAAAGAGGGATAATGTCTTTTGACATGTGCAGACAGTGACAGGACAAAGGGAATGGATTTAAACTAAAAGAGGAGATATTTAGGTTGGATGTAAGGAAGGAATTCCTCCCTGGGAGGGTGGGCAGGCCCTGGCACAGGGTGCCCAGAGCAGCTGTGGCTGCCCCTGGATCCCTGGCAGTGCCCAAGGCCAGGCTGGATGGTGCTGGGAGCAGCCTGGGATGGTGGAAGGTGAGGGGGTGGGATGGGATCATCCTTAAAGCCCCTTCCAGCCTAACCCATTCCATGGCAGGATTCCTGAGAGTGGCAGGATCTGGGAGTGCAATGGGCTCGTGTTTACAGGAATTCTGTTCTTCCTTTGCCTCCAGAAAAGCCTGAAGGGAGCCTCTGCCTTTCCAGCGCCTCCGGAGCAGTAAGTGCTGTTTCTTTCTTGGGATATCTGCCATTCCAAATTCTCATGGGTGTGTGGATTGAAGATCTTTTTTGCCTGGCTGGAGGCAGCAATAAGCAGGGAAAGGGAGCTGCTGGGCCTGCTCTGGGGAGAAGAGGCAGCTGTCCCCTCTTCCTGCAGACAAGGTCACTGGGCCTCCATCCAAGAAAGCTCTTAAGCACATATTTGATTTAATCATGTTTTTAGCCCCATTGACCTCTTTAAAACCGAAGTTAAGCATATGCCCAAGTGCTTTGGTGGATAACATGACAAAGGCCTGTGAGATACCACCAGTTTGGGATGGTCCTGGATTTCCTCCTTCCCAGCACAGGAGTTTGGCTGAAATCCTTTGGTGCCACTGTGCTGACACCTCCCTGGCTTCCCAACAAACCCTGAAATTGCTAAATTTTGATGGGTCTCTTCCTCCTGCTCCGTTACCCTGCTAAAACTCAACCAGCTATAGCTGTGGAGGGGTGGAACAAAGCGCAGGAGAAACCTGAGCTGGGTTTTTTCAGCCCTTTAAAAGACGTGGTCACCTGGAAAACATGTCAAATATTCCATTAGCTGGATGCCAGCACTGAGGAGTGGGTGAGTGCCAGAGCCCCTGCCTTCTGCAGGGGTGTCTCAGGCACAAACCAGAGCCTCAACCAGCCTCTGCCATGTGTTCCACACTGAAAATAGCAGTGCTCCGTGAGGAAATGCAGCAATTTGGGCAGACACCACATGAGCAGGGCATGGAAAGTCCAGAACCTGAATTTCAGTGATGCATCTCAGCATTTGGGGTTTTTTGAGCTGCCGTGAGACCCACACACTCCAAATTCTGCTGGGTTAATCCCTGCTATTCCCTTGCTCCTGCAGCTGAGACAGGAGCCCCGGTGCTCCCGAGGGCGAGTGCCAGCCCTTGGCACCCAGGGCTCCCTGAGCCAGCACGGTCAGGGCTCTTCTGTCACCCCGATTCTTAAAATTTTCTAAAGCCTTCGAAGTTTACATTCTGTTAATTTTCTATAAACAACATATTATTTTACATTCCTTCATAAAGGTAAAGAAGCTTAATATACTAGTAGTTTATCCAATGTCTTTAAAAAAATAACACATTCACTCTCCCAATCCACTATCACCTTTAAAAAATATATAAAAATTAGAATCAAAAAATAAACCTTCTTCTTTTCCTTACAAATAGCAGTAACTCACGTTGTGCTTTCACGTGTCTATAACAACACTCCTCTGCCTTGATGTGGTTTGGAACAGCCCCAGGGGAGTCCCAGGCTGTGGGTAGGGCTGTGCCACATCCCTGAGGAAATCTGGGCACTGGGAGAGGAAAGGTTCCCGTTCTGGGGACGAGGGGCTGTGTGGAGCTGTGTGATCTGTGCAGGGGCTGGGGTTGGTGTCTGGGCATGATCCCAATGAGCTTTTCTGTCACAGGCAGCTGGAGGAGGAGGGCTGGGCGGAGGTCAGGAAGAAGCTCCGGGAATTCACACTCAACACCCAGGTAAAGCTCTGGAACAGCCCATTGGAGGCCAAGCTTATCTCTCACCCACAGGCAGAGATGTGCTGCCTCAGCTCCTGCCCTGGGGCTGCTCCAGGCTGGAGGGGGAAACTTCCATGGAATTATTCCCACACAATGTCCTGAGTGGGAAGGGACCCCCAGGGATCATCCAGAGCAGCTCCTGGCCCTGCACAGACACCCCAGCAATCCCACCCTGTCCCTGAGAGCATTGTCCAAGCACTCCTGGAGCTCTGGCAGCCCCGGGGCTGTGCTCATTCCCTGGGGATCACTCTCCATGGAGCCTTGCTGTGGCTTTGGCCTCAGCCCTCCAGGCAATGCTGGCAGGTCCCAGCTGGAGGTGTCTCCAGGCTTTACTGTCCCCACTGCTAAAGCAGGGACAGCAGCCCCTTGTCACTCCTCATTTCAGAACAACCTTTTGGCATCTCTGTAATAAACTGGGGCTGATTGCTGCCCTGTGCTGGCACTGCTGGGACATCTCCAGTCCTGGGGGCAGTTGTGGGCCACCCATGACAGGACAGACATTGAGGGGCTGGAGGGGGTCCAGAGAAGGGAACAGAGCTGGGAAGGGGCTGGAGCATCAGGAGGGGCTGAGGGAGCTGGGAAGGGGCTCAGCCTGGAGAAAAGGAGGCTCTGGGGGGACCCTGTGGCTCTGCACAGCTCCTGACAGGAGGGGACAGCTGGGGCGAGTCAGGCTCTGCTCCCAGGGACAGGAGGAGAGGGAACAGCCTCAAGGTGTGCCACGGGAGGTTTACACTGGATATTGGGAATATTCCTTCATGGAGAGGGTGGTCAGGCACTGGCACAGCTGCCCAGGGTAGTGATGGGGTCACCACCCTGGAAGGAATTTATAAGACATGTGGATGTGGCACTTGGGGACATGGGTTAGTGGTGGCCTTGGCAGTGCCAGGTTAACACCTGGATTCTAGTGGCCTTTTCCAACCTACAGAATTCCACGATTCTTTGATTCTATTCAGCCTGGTTCACGTCTAGGCTGAGTCTGAATCAGCTTTCCAGTTTGGTTCCTGCTGGCTGCAGGGATATTCCCTTCCATGTCCTGCCTTCCCCTGTCCACAGCAACCTGAGGGAGTGCTCCACCACTCCCTGGGGATGTAAAGCCCATTCCCCGGGGATGTAAAGCCCATTCCCTGGGGATGTAAAGCCCATTCCCCGGGGATGTAAAGCCCACTCCCTGGGGATGTAAAGCTCCACACTTGTATGGGGCCTATCTCTGTGGTCAGAAGAAGGGAGATGTCATGGCAGAGGGGTTGGAGTGGTGGGGAAGTGGTCAGAAGGTTGGACTCACACAGCACAGAGGGGCTGAGCACCTCACTCCCATGGCACAGATCTCTTTTTTTCCACGTTTTCTCCATGTTTTCTCGGCCCTGCAGGAGGACCTGGAGCAGCAGAGAAGCCAGCTGCTGACTCGGGCTGTGGCTGCAGAGGAGCAGGTGTCGGAGCTGCAGGGGTACATCGATCAGCACCTGGCCAGGTGAGATGGGGATCCCTCTCCAGGCTTGGTGCCAGTTCCATCCCCGTGCCCACTGCCAGCACGGCCCATGTCCCACTGCTCCTCCAGCTGTGCAGGCAGCTGCCACCACCTCTTGTGCCACAGGGCAGCAGGACAGACACTCCCCACACACCACTCGTGTCCTTCCCTGTGTGCTCACCCATCCTTGGGAGGAATCAGGATCATGAAATGGGTTGGGAGTGACACAAACGTTCATCCAGCTCCCCTGCCATGGGCAGGGACACCTTCCACTGTCCCAGGCTGCTCCAAGCCCTGTCCAACCTGGCCTTGGGCACTGCCAGGGATCCAGGGGCAGCCACAGCTGCTCTGGGCACCCTGTGCCAGGGCCTGCCCACCCTGCCAGGGAACAATTCCTTCCCAATATCCCATCTAACCCTGCCCTCTGGCACTGGGAGCCATTCCCTGTGTCCTGTCACTTTATGCCATTGTCCAAAGTCCCTCTCCCACTCTCTTTGAGTCTCTCTAAGCACTGGAAGGGGCTCTAAGGTTTCCCTGCAACCTTCACAGGAACTCAAAATCTAAAGCCTAACCTAAAGCCTGAAACCTTCAGAGTTCCTGTTTTCACAGGTTCCAACCCCAGTGCTCCCAGCAGCCCTGATCTGTGTTCCCCTCCCCACGGCTCATCCTGCCCTGGAGCAGGGAGAACAGCAGGCAAGGGAGAGGACAAGCGGGGCAGGGCTGCCAGGGCATGATGCCCCTGCTCCTGCCATGCCACCCCAGCTGTGGGCTCGGGTCAGGCTCTGCCCTGCCCTGGCACAGCCCAGGAATGCCTTTCCTTCGGGAAAAGCAGCAGGATCTGCATGCCAGGCTCAGCTCCTGGCACGGCTCATTGCCCGGGGACTGTGAGTGGTGACAGTGGCACTTCCACACTGCTCAATGTGAGTGACAGTGGCACTTCCACACTCCTGTCAGTGACAGTGGCACTTCCACACTCCTGTCAGTGACAGTGGCACTTCCACACTGCTGTCAGTGACACAGGCACTTCCACACTGCTCACTGTCAGTGACAGTGGCACTTCCACACTGCTGTCAGTGACAGTGGCACTTCCACACTGCTCACTGTCAGTGACAGTGGCACTTCCACACTGCTCACTGTCAGTGACAGTGGCACTTCCACACTGCTGTGAGTGACAGTGGCACTTCCACACTGGTCACTGTCCATGACAGTGGCACTTCCACACTGCTGTTAGTGACAGTGGCACTTCCACACTGCTCACTGTCAGTGACAGTGGCACTTCCACACTGCTCACTGTGACAGTGGCACTTCCACACTGCTGTCAGTGACAGTGGCACTTCCACACTGCTCACTGTTAGTGACAGTGGCACTTCCACACTGCTGTCAGTGACAGTGGCACTTCCACACTGCTCAATGTCAGTGACAGTGACACTTCCACACTGCTCACTGTCAGTGACAATGGCACTTCCACACTGCTCACTGTGAGTGACAGTGGCACTTCCACACTGCTGTTAGTGACAGTGACACTTCCACACTGCTGTCAGTGACAGTGGCACTTCCACGCTGCTCAGTCAGTGACAGTGGCACTTCCACGCTGCTCAGTCAGTGACAGTGGCACTTCCACGCAGGTACAAGCAGGAGCTGCTGCGGCTGAGGAACACCAGCGAGGTGCCCCCAGTGCCCGGTGCCAGGAGTGCCAGCCAGGAGCCAGAGCAGCCCCAGCTTTGGGAACAGCCCACCCCAAGGGAGGTCTGTGCTCCATGGGCTGCCAGGCAAGGATCCTTCTCGGGCTGGGAGGTGGGAACAGCGAGAGGAACCAGGTGGGTGTTTCTGCTCCTAAATTCACAGGGCTAAAATGAGACAAGACAACTGCAGCTCATCTGTGCCCGCCAGGCTGCCGGAATTCTGCTCCTCCCTGAGCACCCCCTTGCATCCCAGGCAGCTCTTCCCTGCTGGGCTGCAGGGACAGGCTCCTGCTCCTGCTGCAACATTGCTCCTGGATGAGACCTGGACCTGGACCAAGGGCTGCTCCTGCCTCACTCCCCTCCCCTGTGGGACAGAACCAAGGCTGGCTCAGACCAGGATTTGTTCTGGGCTTGGACAAAGGGATGAGCTGCTCTTTTACTGTAAGGGTGGTGAAAGGCTGCCCAGAGCAGCTGTGGCTGTCCCTGGATCCCTGGCAGTGCCCAAGGCCAGGCTGGACAGGGCTTGGAGCAGCCTGGGACACTGGGAGGTGTCCCTGCCCATGGCAGAGGGGTGGAACAAGAGGAGCTTTAAGGTCCTTTCCAACCCAATCCATTCCATGATTCTGTGACTCTGTGGTGGGAAAACCCCATTTTCCTCTGTGTTTGAGTGGAAAATGGAGTATTGTATAGATGAGCAGGGCAAAACTGATCCTGCACAGAGCGGAGCTGGAAAGGATGGCAGAGCAAAGCCAGGAGCAGCTGCTGCTCCAACTCCAAGATCATCCAGCAGCTCAAAGACAAAGCAAAAACCTCAGAGGAACAACCAACCAAAACTTTATTTTTAGCACTTAAATTGAAATAAAGCAGCAATCATCCAAAAAGAAGCACCGGAGCTTCATCCCTTAAATCCTGCGTTAACCCCAGGATTTCCAGGTCTGATTTTCTCCTCCCTTGCTTTGCTCACACTCTGGAAAAATGAAAATCTGCCACCCTGCAAGTCCCCAGGACAAATGCTGGCCGAGCACTCTGTCCTGAGCCGAGCCAAGGGCTGGAGTGGCTCTGCCCCTCAGTGCCAGGCTGCAGGAGGCTGCTGTTAAGCCAGGCTTAGCCAGGCTGGGGTCAGAGCTGGCTTTGCTGGGCGCTGCCCTGCACCTCTCGCCGCACCTCCTTGATGTCATAGGCCCAGACCTGGTCCAGCCCCTGGCCCAGGGTGCTGCTGGGGGTCCAGCAGGGGAAGGGGTAGCGCCCAGCCACCACCCGGGCATCGTCAGGCAGCTCTGCCAGGAGCTTGCTGGCCAAGGGAGGTTTCTGGGGAGAGAGACACAGCCAGGACAGACAGCCTTAGGACACGGTGACACAGTGGCAGTGCCACCAAGGAGCGTGGGGCAGCTGCTGGGACACCAACCCTTCGGAGCATAGGGCTGGTGCTGGGTAAGGCTGGGACTTGGAGCAAGCCATGAGCAATGGCACAAGAGGAATTGCCTCAAGTTGCACCAGGAGAGGTTCAGGTTGGAAAATTTCTTCACTGAAAGGTGAAAGGCATTGGCACAGCTGCCCAGGGCAGTGGTGGGGTCACCATCCCTGCAGGGCTTTAACAGACATGGATGTGGCACTTGGGGACGTGGCTCAGTGTGGCCCTGGCAGTGCTGGGGGAATGGAGTGCAAGACTCCATCCCAGAGGGATTTTCCAACCTCCATGATTCCATGATTCTATAAATCCAAATGCTGTGTAGCACCAAAGCACTCAGCCACAGGGATGCTCACTTGGCCTTATCCCATCCCAGATCCCCTCTCTTTCCCAAGGGAAGCCCCCTCAAGCTGGCCCAGAACAACTCAGGATGTGAGGGGCTGACTCACCACACTGGGGGCCAGGAACACGATCACGTTGTGGCAGTCTGAGAGATTCACCTTAAAACAGAAGGAAAAGGGGAATAATGAGCAACAGGCAGAGCAGGAACAGCTGTTTGAGTGTCCAAACCTTGTGGGTGATCTTTGGAACCCTGGAGGGAACAAAGATGCCACAAAAGATGTGGGATGGGGAAGTGTGGGTGTGAAAGCAGCACGTCTTGGGAAACATCTGCACCATCCCAGACCCACATTCCCTGATGGATTCTCTCTGGTCAGGCTGCAACTCCCTCATGTCAGCCTGAGAAGCTCATGTCTGCAGGTGAGCCTGTCAGCAGCACCCACACCTCTCCTCAGAGCTGCTCCAAGCAGCAGAACTGGCCATGGGCTGCCCCAGCTGGCATTCCCTGGAAAGGACGGTGGATTTCCACCTCCCAGCTGGCATTCCCCAGCCAGGAGGATGGATTTCCACCTCCCAGGAGAAGTGTGGGATGGGGAAGGAGCAAGCAGTCATCAGCAAATCCATCCTGGAGATGCAAACAGAGCTCTGGCCCCGCCCTGAGCACATCCAGACCCTCGGGATGCTGTTACCTTCCACAGATCCTTCTTCAGGAAGGAGACCTTCCCGTGGTACCCAGCCTTCCAGGCACGGTAGTTGGCCAGGCAGAGCAGCCAGGGGTTGAGCTCATAGCCCAGGGCTGGCCTCAGCCCCTGCTTGTAAGCCTCGAGCACCTGGAGAGGGAGAGAGGGAGGGCTGAAAGCCAGAGCACCTCCATGCTTTGGGGCAGAATTTGGGTGGGCAGGGGCTGCTGCCCAGCTCCACTCACCCCATCCTGCGGCTCACAGGCAGGGTGACCTCGGAGCTCAGCACCACCCAGAGCCCTCACTGCCACCCTGCTCCCTGCATGAGTCTTTTAGGGCTGCCAAAGACCACCTAGGGCCATCTAGAGCTGGCTTGGACCATCTAGGACTGCCTAGAACCACCCAGGGCTGTTTAGACCCACCTAGCACCATGCTGGGTCACCTAGGACCACCCAGGACAGTCGTTAGGAACACCCAGGGACACCCAGAACCACCTAGAGCTGTCTAAGACCATCGAGGACCCTCTGGGAGCACCGTGGATGGTCGCGGACCGATGCAAGGAGGGCACCCAGCAGCACAGCCAGCAGCCGGGTGGGGGTCTGCCCTTCACCCCGCCGGTGAGGGTCCTGCCCCTCACGCACCCCAACGCCCCCGGGAGCCTTACCAGCCGTCCATCTCCGGAGCCCAGATCCACGGTCTTGCCGGCGCGGCCCCGCAGCAGGGCCAGGCTGTTGGCAACCTGCCGGGGGCTGGAGGGCTGGAAGGGCACCTGTGGGCACAGCGGGTCAGAGACCCGGGGGTGCCCCTCTACGGGGTGCCAGGGAGGGGCCCGGGGGTGCCGTGAGGGGCCCAGGGGTGCCGGGGAGGGCCCGGGGGTGCCCCTCTACGGGGTGCCAGGGAGGGGCCCGGGGGTGCCGTGAGGGGCCCAGGGGTGCCGGGGAGGGCCCGGGGGTGCCCAGAGGGGCCCGGGGGTGCCGTGAGGGACCCGGGGGTGCCCGGAGGGCCCGGGGGTGCCGTGAGGGACCCGGGGGTGCCCAGAGGGGCCCGGGGGTGCCGAGGAGAGTCCGGGGGTGCCGTGAGGGGCCGGGGGTGCCGTGAGGGGCACGGGGGTGCTATGAGGGACATGGGGGTGCTGGGGAGGGGCCCGGGGGTGCCGTGAGGGGGCCGCGGGTGCCCGGAGAGCCCGGGGGTGCCCGGAGGAGCTCGGGGGTGCCGTGAGGGGCCCGGGGGTGCCGTGAGGGGCCCGGGGGTGCCCAGAGGAGCCCGGGGGTGCCGTGAGGGGCCCAGGGGTGCCTAGAGGGGACCGGGGGTGCCCAGAGGGGCCCGGGGGTGCCGTGAGGGACACGGGGGTGCCGTGAGGGGCCCAGGGGTGCCGTGAGGGACACGGGGGTGCCGGGAGGGGCCCGGAGGAGCCCGGGAGGGCACAGGAGTGCCGGGAGGGGCCCGGGGGTGCCGTGAGGGACCTGGGGGTGCCGTGAGGGGCCCGGGGGTGCCCGGAGGGGCCCGGGGGTGCCGTGAGGGGGCGGGGGGTGCCGGGGAGGGACACGGGGGTGCCGGGAGGAGCCCGGGGGTGCCGTGAGGGGCACGGGGGTGCCGGGAGGGATCCGGGGGTGCCCGGAGGGGCCCGGGGGTGCCGGGAGGGACATGGGGGTGCCCGGAGGGGCCCGGGGGTGCCCGGAGGGGCCCGGGGGTGCCATGAGGAGCTCGGGGGTGCCCAGAGGGCCCGGGGGTGCCGGGAGGGTCCGGGGGTGCCGTGAGGGACCCGGGGGTGCCCAGAGGAGCCCGGGGGTGCCGGGAGGGACATGGGGGTCCCCGGAGGGGCCGGGGGTGCCGTGAGGGGCCCGGGGGTGCCCAGAGGGGCCCGGGGGTGCCGTGAGGGGCCCGGGGGTGCTATAAGGGGCACGGGGGTGCCCAGAGGGGCCCGGGGGTGCCCGGAGGGGCTCGGGGGTGCCGTGAGGGGCCCGGGGGTGCCGTGAGGGGGCCCGGGGGTGCCGTGAGGGGCCCGGGGGTGCCGTGAGGGACCCGGGGGTGCCCAGAGGGGCCCGGGGGTGCCCGGTACCTGCAGGCGGAGCGGGACGCGGCGGAAGCCGGGCATCAGCAGCACGGCCCAGGTTGCCCACACGGCCGCCCCGCTAGCCACGGCCAGCGCCAGCAGCCCCCGGGCGCCCAGCGCGCCCCCGGGCCGAGCCCAGCCCGGCTCCCCCGGCTCGCCCGGCTCCCAGCCCGGCTCCACGGCCGCGTCCATGGCCGCCGGAAGGGCAGGGCGGCACGGCCGGGCCCCTTCCGCCGGGAGCGGCCCCGGGACACCGGGACACCGGGACACCGGGACACCGGGACACCGGGACACCGGGACACCGGGACACCGGGACACCGGGACACCGGGACACGGGGGGCGGAGGGACACGGTCCCGGCACAGGACGGACGCGGCCCCCGGAACCCGCGCTGCCCCCGGTGCTGCGGGAGGGGCAGAGCTGTGCGTGGGTGTGTGCGGTGTGCACAGGGGTGTGTGTGAGAACAGCTCTGTGTGTGTGAGTGTGAGAACAGCTCTGTGTGTGTGTGTGAGTGTGATAACAGCTGTGTGTGTGTGTGAGTGTGATAACAGCCCTGTGTGTGTGAGTGTGAGTGTGAGATAACAGCTGTGTGTGTGTGAGTGTGAGTGTGAGAACAGCTGTGTGTGTGTGAGTGTGAGATAACAGCTGTGTGTGTGTGAGTGTGAGTGTGAGATAACAGCTGTGTGTGTGTGAGTGTGAGATAACAGCTGTGTGTGTGTGAGTGTGAGTGTGAGAACAGCTGTGTGTGTGTGAGTGTGAGATAACAGCTGTGTGTGTGTGAGTGTGAGTGTGAGAACAGCTGTGTGTGTGTGAGTGTGAGATAACAGCTGTGTGTGTGTGAGTGTGAGTGTGAGAACAGCTGTGTGTGTGTGAGTGTGAGATAACAGCTGTGTGTCTGTGAGTGTGAGATAACAGCTGTGTGTGTGGGAGTGTGAGAACAGCTCTGTGTGTGTGAGTGTGAGTGTGTGTGCGGGTGTGCACAGCTCTGTGTGTGACAACAACTCTGTGTGTGTTTGTGTGGGTGTGTGTGTAAGTGTGATAACAGCTGTGTGTGTGATAACAGCTCTGTGTGTGTGTCTGA